AAAACTTTAAAATTATTTCACAATACTGTATTAGTAAAGGACGCTGTCGGTAAAACAAAGATTACCATTATTGGTAGTTAGGTATTTATTTTGGCAAGTTTGCAAATAAGGGTTTTAATGTTTTGATATTTCTTGTACCCTATATGTATGGTGACATTAAATATATTTTGTTAGAACCCTTTTAATAAAGTCCTTAATTCATATTTGAACTAGATGCTTAATAATTTAGCATCCAAAATAATATAAGATAAATTATTTGTATTAAGCTAAAAAATCATAAGTGAGATCTTCAGTTGAAGAAGCTTGATCTCAAAATTTATTAAGGGATTCATTATTTATTATTGTATAAGATCAAGAAATGTGTCAATTTTATTACTCACTATCAAGTTAATCAAATTTGAATCTTACTTTCAAATAAATAGTAAGAATTATAAGCCTAGACCACTGGCCTACTTGTTAAGAGCACCACCTTTACCTAAGCATGTTTGTTTATCAACTTTATTTGATGATGATCAGGTTGTTAAGAAATCCATTTGTTAAAATAAACCTTTCTTGTTGTATACATTGAGGACATTATCACATTACTCATAGATGTCATAATAATTTGCCACTAACTTATCTCAAATGAATAGAGACTTGAAGGAAGGGATTGAAATGCCTTAATAAGATGGCTTTGTAGAATTTAGTTAGGAACATTTAATGTGCAACTATCTAAAATCACCTCTGGGAATTAGTAAGTCTTTAGGTAGTGATATCTAAAGTTTTGATGAGGCTATTAGCTCCCTTTAATTTTACTTAGAGTACTTCAAATTTGTGAATATTTGGGAAAAGCAGTCTTTTGCTCTTTATGCTCCATGCTAACAGCCAGTGATCAAGTAAATGAGACAACATACTTGTGGTTGTACCACCTTGATATAAAATTTTCTGTCTGACATATTTTATTCAAGAATTAATATTTATTTTAATATGTCTAATTGTAACCTTGATTTGTCTCAAGCAACCTATTTTAATCAAGTGTTTAAAGATCTAATGCACATTCCTAGTTTGATACTAGTTTAAGGGGTGTAAGATTGTTTAAGTTTTCACATCCTCAAAACTAATGTTGAGGAGGATTTAAAATTTGCATATAAATATTTTGTACGCTTCCACTATGAATGAATTTGAGGATGCTAAAATATGCATTAGTCTTTGATCTAGATTTTGCTTCGTATACCCCTTAGTAAATATTTGCAAAATCCTAGCAAGAAAATACTAAGATTATTTTAAAAAATTCTTGTATGCTGAAAAGTATATGACACATAATGTTGGTTGTTAAAAAAAATTTAATCTTCTTTTAAATTTGTGACTATGAGAATTTAGAATGTGCATCCTATATATTCCAAAATACAGAGAGGAGCTGTCTTGTAAAAATAAGTGTATTATATACTCTCATAGCTACCTTAATTTAGAATGTGGAATATATATATATATATATATATCACTTGTTGTAAATCCTTTTATTAGGTTATATAGTTGAGGATAGTATTATTAGACATGCATTTTGTTATTCCTCAAATTATTAATGTGATATTTTGTCTACCTTAAACTTCTCTCGAAGATTTTGTTGGAGAAGATTATAGACACTAGGACTTATCTAGTTCACTTTTGTGGTGAATATATGCTTATGCATTTATATGACTAAAGGCTTATCTTTGTGGGTTTTATTGATCTCTAGATAGCCTTAGTTTAGTGGGAGTTTGAGTTGTATTCTTTTAAGGGGATTTGATGGTTTAAGGCTATTTTTCTATTATGCTGAGTTCTTGTTTCAGAAACAATAAGATGCTTTATATCATTTGTTTTTCCATAAGATTCAATGATTCAAGTTTATGCATCTTGTATCACTTGTTTTCTCTTAGGATTCATTGATCTTGTATTGTTTCTCTACTGAGTTTCAATCTAAATTTAGAGATGTTGCGGTGCTTTATATCATTTGTCTCCCTATGGGATTCAATGATTTGTGTTAGAGCACCTTGTGTCACTTGTTTACTTATATGATTAAGTGACTTTATGTCATATCTTTATTGAGTTATGGTCAGAAGACCCATTCTATGTTCAGTTTAGTTAGATGCATCTACATCATTTGTATCTCTATAGGATTCAATGATTTTGTTGTGGTACGCTATACATGTCACTTGTTTTTCCATGAAAATCAGTGATCTTATGTTGTTATCTTACTGAACTGTGTTTGGAACAAAAAATTTCATATTTTGTTCAATTCAGATTATGAGACATATCACTTATTTTCTCATAGGATCCAGTGATTTTGTAAAATTTCTTTTTTTTTTTTAATTTTATTTGTGACTTGTTTATACAACTTGCTTAATTAATGCAATCTAAGTGAGAGATTGTTGGAATATTTATTTATGAATTTATATTAATTAATAAATCCAAACTGATTGGTTTTTAAAATCTTGTGTGGACTGTGATAAGTGGACCATACAAGTGAGCCCAATGGGCAAAGGCCTAACTTACAACCCTGTAGCCGTCAATTATTCTCTATCTCTTGACTGACTAAGTCAAAGATAATAAAATATAATTAATTAATTATAGCGGTTACTGATCTGGTATGTATAAGCTGATTAGTCTCCCACAAACACATGACAATTTTCACTTTCTCTATTATCTCTAAACTCTCTACAAAACTACCATGGTCTTGTGAGTTGTGCATCTATCTATACTCGAGGTAATTAAAATATCACAATCAGTCAGGGATTCTTCAAGTATGCACATATTACTTTGCTTAATATTATTTGTTCATATGAATTGAGATACTAAATTTAACAATTGATTGGAGCCTTACTTATCCATATGCTAAAGTTTATCATCTTTGTAGATTTGGTTCAAATCACAAACCTGTTTTGATGAAATTGAAGAATGATTCCCATGGCCAGCGTTATCAGCCACAATTTAAATGTCAAGCAGCATGGTCTTTAGAACACAAATTTACTGTTGTGGTCAGGGATGCTTAGGATGAAGGAGATTGGTGTGCTGGTCTGGAGAAGGTTACTAGGACAGCTGATGTTTGGAACAAGGAGGGAGCGGGTAATATTGTTCAGAAGAAGGAAAAAAAATCCTAAAACGCATTGAAGGGGCTAATATAAAGCAAGATCTTCTAGGGATAGTCAATACCTGGTTCGAATTGAGAAGGAATTATGGAATGATTATAATAAAACCTGTGCCCAGAGGAGTTGATTTGGTTTTAGAAGTCTAGATGTGATGGAGATAAAAAAAGTATATTTTTCCATGCTTCATACCCTTACACACAAGAAGAATAGAATTGCAGCTCTAAAGAATGATGAAGGCCAATGGGTTAATGATCAGACTTGCTTGAAAATGATAGCAAAACACTTCTATCACATGTTGTTCTCCAACAGTGTTGATTATGTACCGCAACTTCATACTGTTAGAAGTTTCTCGAAGTTGTCTGAGGCTGAGTTGTTATGGACACAAAAACTTCATACTGTTATGGAAACTTTTAAAGCTCCAGGCCCGATCTTGATGGGATACAAGTGTTCTTCTTCCATCTCTATCAATGGGGTAATATTAATTATTCTTTTGGACAAATTTTTTCATATTATTAACATACTAATCACATTACCTCTTTACATCATTACATGGTTGTGTGTATTTCTTTTGATTTTATTTATAAATCACTTTTATTATGTTTCATTAAAATTAAGAAAAACTTAAACCTCATTAATTCTGTTTTAAAATTTAATAATCTTTCACCTTTACCCCTAATAAAATACAAAAAGAACTATTTTTAATAATTTTTTTTAACATTTAATAAGACATAAAGGTAAAGAGGAAGATAAAAAATAGTGAAACATCCTATAAATAAATTAAAATTAATCTTCTTTCTTTGCCTTTATAAATAGAATCAAAGGAGTGTCATCTTAAATTAAATTAATGTAGGAGCAACACTGTGTGTGGTTAAGCTCCCCCGCATGTGTGAGGAATATATTTATATAATCTATCCTATTTATGAGACAGAGTGAGATTTTTATCTTTTTCCTTTTTTGCCTTTATTAAATATTAGTGAGAAAAAATATATTATTAAAACATGTATATTAAAAATGTGTATTTAAGAGGGGCAAAATTTAAAACTTAATAAATTTTGAGTCAAGGTTAATGATTAGTTTTCAAAACGGTGCATTATGGCCCTTACATTAATAAATATTAACTTTAATTATTAGTTGATCAAAAATTATAAAAAATGATCTTATAAGAAAAAAGAATAACTTTTTTATAATTTTAGTGGTAATTTTTTATAATTATGAGATCCCTTTTCTAATAACAAGACATCGAGAGATGACACATGTACACATACGTGGTGACTCACCAACTTAAATTAAAATCCATCTAATGGTGCGTCAATGCCTTAATGGCAGGACGACACCCGTAGTTAGATTTTGTAACGTTTAAAGGAGAAATGGCCCAAAGTGAGTTCAAGATTGATATTAAGTGTCCCTAAGCATTTCGAGAGTAAAAGTGACCTTTAATTTATTTGTAAATACTGAAGTGTATCACAGTGGGTAATATGGCAGAAAAATGACCTGCTTTATTCATTGAATGAGTCAATATATATACAGGAAAAGTAAACAGTTTAGTACAATAAAATATTGATAAATTAGAAAACTGGCCTAGCTGAATATACACGTGGCTGTTGAAAATATCAACCATCCTCACTATTATCATCTAATACCCCCCGCAAGCTGGAGCATGTATATCTATCATGCCCATCAGCTTGGTCAAACACGAGTTGAAAGGTCCAGCACCAAGGGGTTTGGTATGAATATCAGCAACCTGATTGGATGTATATGAATGGGAAGTAGATGAACCAAACCAGATGGAATTTTCTCTCGAACTAAGTGACAGTCCAGCTCGTTCGTGGGATTGGACGCAATATGAATGGCGGATTGGCTGTCACGAAAAACACTAGCAGGGGAAGGATGTGGGATTTAAAGATCAATGAGTAAGTAAAAGAGCCACTGAACTTCACAAGTGACAGCTGCAAGAGCACGGTACTCAGCTTCAGAGGATGAACGAGAGACTATGTGTTGCTTCTTGGAACGCCAAGCAATCAAAGCTTGATCGAGGTAAACACAAAAACCTGTTATAGAACGACGTGCATCTGGATAACCAGCCCAATCAGAGTCACAAAAGGCTTTAAGCTTAAAATCAGAATGAGCATGAAAGAATAAACCACGACCAGGACAACTCTTGAGATACCCAAGAACACGATATGCAGCCTGTAAATGTGTAGTACGAGGAGCAGAAATGAACTGGCTGAGCTGTGAAACAGCATAAGAAAGATCAGGACGTGTGGTTGTGAGATAAAGTAGACGCCCCACGAGACGCCGGTAAACAGAGGGATCTTCAAGAGAAGAACCAGAATCTTGAGACAACTTGGTTGAACGATCCATGGGAGTAGAAACTAGTCGGGCAGCAAGAACACGACAATCAGACAAAATGTCCAGAGCAAACTTGCGCTGACAAACAGATAAACCAGCATTGGAACGAGCAATCTCAAGCCCGAGAAAATATTTGAGAGGACCCAGATCCTTGATTTTGAACTTAGCATCTAAAAAGACTTTGATTCGATGGATCTCAGCCGTATCATTTCCTGCCAGAATGACATCATCGACATAGACTAAAAGCAGAGTGAAAGAAGCATCCTTGCAACGAACAAACCTAGAATAATCAGCCAGCCAAAGACTGAGTATAACCAGAATCAACCAAAGAAATGGACAATTTTGCAAACCATTGTCGACTAGCTTGTTTCAAGCCATAGAAGTGATTTCTGAAGCTTGCAAACAGTTCTTGGATTAGAAGTAAAACCTTGAGGTAAAACCATATAAACTTCCACATGAAGATCACCATGTAGAAAATCATTGTTAACATCTAATGGTTGTAAATGCCAATTTTTAGCAGCAGCAAGGGCAAGAATCAAACGAACAATAGTAAGTTTGGCCACAGGAGAACATGCATCAAAATAATCAATTCCCTCAGTTTGGGTATAATCCTTTGCAACTAAACGAACTTTGCAACGCTCAAGATCACCATTTGCTTTTTATTTCTTTTGGTACACCCACTTACACCCAATCGGACGCTTACCAGGAGGCAATTTAGTCAGAGCGCAAGTATTAGCTGAATATACACGTGGCTGTTGAAAATATCAACCATCCCCACTATTATCATCTAATAAAGTGAGGTGAAATTTTAAAATATATATATATATATATATTATAGTTAATGAGTTTTTAAAAAATAAACACAAATTATATGGATTAATTTATTCAACGTGATATTAAATTCCTAACACATTAAATTTTTTATGCATACATATTTCAAATGATATTTTAGCCAACTTACTTATTCAAATTTTAAAAAATTATATAAATAAGTTTACATAACCAAAAAAATGTTAAATATGATTTTAAAAATTTTTAAAAATTAGGCACCTAAAAATTATTTTTGATAACCCGAATGATTTTTAAAAAATACTTGCGTTAAAAGGGGTCATTTTGGTCTCAAATATGTAATTTAATGCCTAATTAATAGTTGAATGAATGAAAATTAAATCTCGAAGAATACAGGGAATGTCTTTGTTATGCAATTTTTATTTTAATAAAATTTTATATAGATTTTAAAAATAGAAGAAAAATTTTTATAATTAAAAAATTAAGAATACTCCGACGTATTATATGTGAAAAGAAAGCTCGCACAATATTAGAGAAGCGATGAGATAGTGGAATTTTATGCAAGTGTGCTTTTCTCAACGAAAGGAGACGTAGCTTTTGGATTGAAATTGTTTGAGACTAATACTTTATTTAGATGAAGAAAAAATGTGGGAGAAAAATAAAGAAGAAAACAAATTTTACCCTGTTTTAATAAAGAAGGAAAAGTGAGAAGAAAGAAAAATATGAGAGGAAATAACGTGTGGATGCATCACATTTTATTTTCAAATCTTCTCTCGGTGTGGAGAGATTTTAGGAAGAAATTTGTTGTTACGTATGTACCCTTCTTTCTTTCTTCTAGTTTTTCGTTTTCAATATTTCACATTGTGACTGCAGCAGTCATCGTCCACCTCTCTCTCCCTGTACAAAACCATGCATACTCCGTGCAGTTCCTCTTCTTCGACTCATAGCAAGTATCTCACCAGAGCTACACTTACCCGTACAGATGGAGTGTGTTTAATTTAAATTAATTGTCCCCATTTAATATTTTAGATATAAAAATAATAAATTTATACTAAAATTTTTGGCTTTAAAATATAATAATTAGAAAAATGTATTTTTAATAAATAAATTGATTTTAAATATTCTGATGAAGTTAATTTTAATATGATTTTTCCTTCGATTTATTTTTGGGAAAATAATTGTATGAAATATGATATGTTTTGACATAAGGAAATTATAGCCATTATATATTTGCTCATTTTCTTTTCTTTCTATTTTCTTCTATTCATTCAAACAAAAGAAGGGATAATATTTTTTTTTCAATTTTTTCCTCTCTTCATTTTTTCTCCTCTTTTTCTTTTCTCTCAACTTTTCTTCCCATGCAAATGAAAAGTAAGGTTAAGCAAATTAGTCTTCTTGAGACTTAGTTATCATTAACTTTTTTATATATGCACGGTGAAACTTGACGTAATCCAAAATAAAAAAAAAATGAATTTGCTTGACATGCTTTTTCCCATTAATTAATAAATTTGATGTAATCCAATATATATGTGCATATATATATATATATATAAGCTCCTTAAATTTATCATCGAATACTATTGCTTCATTGGCGTTTTTTAAAAAGTTAAAATATATAAAACTTTTATAAATTTTGAAACAGTTACATATGACTTTTTTCACCTTTAATAATTTAAAATTAACCTCCTAACTTTTAATTTTATTTTTTAAAGCCCCCACTATTAATTAATTGTTATATTATTATTATAGTTATTGCCATGTTAAATTAATGCAATGCACATGATACAAGATATGAAACAATATTTTTATTATTCTTTGACACAATTTAAGGAGGGGCAAAATTTAACACAATTCAAATATATAAGAAGAAACTAAAGAACATTGCCACAGAGGGACCAAACCAAACAGAACACACTTGTAGTGTGTTCTTTTATTACTTACAAAATTTAATTTATTTTATATTTGGATTGAGTAAAGTAATAATAATTTCTTTGATATTTATGCAAGATAGACTACCTCCTAATACTCAAGGCTCTTGCTCATCCTTGCTAGGATGAAGGATGGAATCACGTGTTGAGTGTCCATGAATATTTTTAATTAAACAAAATATTATATTGTAAAATTATTTATAATCAATTTTTTTATACTTTTTTGGATAGTTAAGGTATTGATAGCTAAAAAAATATTATTATTATTATATAAAATTTTAAATATTTTTGTATTAGTTTTATACTTGCTTTTTTTGTTATCAATGGTGTGTAGTATTCTTGTGTTAAAAGATAATTTTTTATTTATATGATTGTTATGAATGATAACTTTTAGATATTTTTTCATCTGTTTAATATAAAATAATATTTTAATTGATAAAGAATAATAAAATTATTTGTATAAAAAAGAATAATAAAATTATAATTTTTCTCTTAAATTCTTTTACCTATGAATAATGAGAACAATGTCCCTCATGTCATGTAAAACTGTGTTAAAAGTACAATTTTGCCCCTTCATAAATTGTGTTAAAAGTACACTCGCCTTATATCCTACTCAATCTCTTGTGAAGAGGCTGACTTAACTGGTGGTTGTCTTATGCAGTGAGACAAGGTCTCAATTGGGTGTCATTAGTGAAGGATTTAAGGCAAGTGTAAGTAAAATGAAGAGCTTCATCAAGTATGTTTTCTCCATGAACCTCTAATTGTGCAGCTTCATTCAAGGCTAACATTCCTCTCACGTCCTTGCTCACATTTTCATTATTAAACTCTCCCTTGTCATCCTTAAATCTCTCAAATACATCTGTTTCATATTGATAAGAAATTTAGAAAATATTATTTTAGAAAGAAATAGGCTTTTGTTATTTAAATATTTTTGTTAGCTTCCTATATGGGAAGGTAACCCACAAGTGGGATGTTTTCTTCATTCCTATTAGTATATAAACAAGTGGATAAGATGGTTTTTTTTCATAAGGAGAAAACCTTAATTAAGCTTATAAATAGGTTGCCCTTTTGTATTTTGAAGCAGACTTGGATAAATAAACACTTGAATATTATGATTCCCTGAAAGCTCTCTCTTACTCCCTCTTTGTTTGCCTCCTTGACCCTCCACTACTTCTAAGTATATGTCTCATTTGGATGATCTTATGATTAGAAGTGACATGCATGATGAAGAATGGCATATAATTACCATGTTTATCAATGGACTCAAACCCTATATACAAAAGGAACTCAAACTAAACTCCCTAGAGTCTCTTAAGGAAGTTTACCATAAGACATTGGAAGTAGAGTCTTTGTTGCAATACTCTTTTGTCAAGCTTACCGACACGCAGAGCAATCATTTTTGACAAACATAAAGTTCTAATGTGACAAGGTGACCTTCTAAAGCACCTACATATAAGCCTAACCCGTTCTCTACGCTAAGTCAAGCAACTAGGTCAAGAGTAATATCTATAAGCCTAGCGAGGCTTCCTACCCTAGTAACTCTCTTATTGAGTATTTCCACTGTCACTCGAAGGGTATTGCCTCAAAATGCCCACTGAGTGCTCTAGTTATTCACTCACATTGTGAGCACGAAAAGAACGTTGCTAATGTCGATGTAGTTGCGAATCTAGATGAGTGTCCTTCAGATATTAATGAGGATATCATTATTAATAAACATGGATATGAGACATGTCTAGTTAGAGTTATGCGATGCATTCTATCAATTCCTCTACTTAGAGATTCATGAAAACAGACAAGTATTTTTCGTACTTTTGTGAAATGGGGGGAGGAAGCTCGCAAATTAGTGATTGATGGTAGGACTTTTAGAAATGTCATTTCTAGTCGAGGAGTTGCTTGACTCAACCTCAAGAAAGAATATCACCTAGAACCTTTTCATGTTGCATGAGTTACCCAATAATGCCGCGTTCCTCTTCAATTAGGTGACTATAAAGTAAAGAATCTTTGTAATGTTCTCCTAATGGATGTTGCTCACATTTTGCTTAGTCAATCGTGGCTTTATGACTATAATGTCATCAATAATGATCGTGAGAATACCTATACCTTTAAGAATGATCATAAGACAATCTTATTACGTCCTACTAAGCCTAACAATAATGGTAGATACTAAAGCAAATCAAAAGGCACAAAACCTAAAACCTAAAGATTGTGTCTTTTGATAGAAAAACAATTTGTATGAGAAATTAGAGAAAGTAAAATTGTGCTTATTCTAGTGTCTAAGATATCACAATAAATTAAATTACTACTATTTCAAAAAATGCCTAAAGAAGTACAATAACTCTTAAAGCAATTTCAAGATGTCACTCGAATGAGTTTCCATCTGAATTACCACAAATAAGAGATATCCAACATGTAATTGATTTCATTCTAGGTTCACAACTTTCTAATCTACCACACTATAGAATGAACCTTAAAAATAGGAAAGAGCTTAATGAAGATGTTAATAGATTGTTGAAAAGGGGTTATATCCAACATAGTATGAGTCCTTATGTAGTACCTACTTTTTTGACTCCTAAAAAAGATAGTTCTTGAAGAATGTGTATAGACACCAGAGCCATCAATAAGATTACCATCAAGTATAGGTGTCACATTCCTAAACTTGATAACATACTTGACTTGGCATCCAAATTATCAAAGATTGATCTTCAAAGTAATTATCATTATATCAGGATTAGACTAAGAGATGAGTAAAAGACTACTTTTAAGA